CCATTTTTAACTACCCTCTCCATTACGAAAATGTTGTTAAAAGACTGTTCTCCTCTGCCCAACTTTTTGACCCATGAGACGTACTGCATTTGGCATGGGTTTGTGTGGGTCATTATTTCTCTTTTATAGTTACAGGTGTGTGTTTGAGTGCAATCCTGAGGCCATTTCTATTTTTGGTGGGGAAACCCCAAACGCAATAAACTGCCACTGTCCTCTAACTGGTACTGTGTTAGTTTGTGACTATTAGAGGACAAACACCCACACAGCTCTGCCTTGCCACCAGTTAAACTTAACAACACAGAGAGCCTAACGATTTGATAATGAACTGTCTTGTTAATCTTTGCTAGTTCACAGGATGTTAGCCACTTGTGAGGTAAATAACTGAGGCTTATTACACCTGCCTGTTGCATGCTATTAACACTCTTGTCCTCTCCCCTGCCCTGGCACTGAATCCATTTTGTGCTCATATATACTGAAAAAGTCCAGTGGTAAACAAAAGCAGAACTTAGTGAAACATACTAAGGGTTAAGTCATTACAGAGAGAGAGAGAGAGAGAGAGAGAGAGAGAGAGAGAGAGAGAGAGACCCTTTCCACATTACCATTCTAAACTGGGTGTTATTCATTGTTGGTCTGATTTCGAGTAAAGCAATACAGAGACAGGGGTTTTATACAGCGAATTTCCTTCCATTAATGAGCCATCTCTGAAGCGCTATTGTCATTTCAAACAGTACCCCTTTCCCCCCTCACACACACCCTTTTCCTTAGCACAATCTTTCTTGAACTTTTATTTAACATTCTGAGTGCTACAACCATGGAGATGCACTGACTCAATGGAGTCAATGCATCCCAATGGTGCTGCTATAGCACTTCAGTGCTATAGTGGTTTAGAGCTATAGCTCTCACCTTAGAATGTTTTTTTTAATTCTGAGAAAGATTGCATGGCAAAAAAGGGTGGGGGGAAAGTGGCATTATAGGAAGCACCATGGACATTTTAAACAGCACACCACAGTGATTCAGAAGTACAACAAAGGGATTGAAAATGGAAAAAAGCAGTTTCCCTCAAAAGCGGCTTAACCACGCTTTGCTAACCCAACGCAAGTGGGTTTGTATGAACAGGAAAATAAATTCTTCTAGCAGCCGGGTACTAAATCAGGTCTGTCTGAAATAACAGACAAAATCCATTAGCAACCAGTTACTAAAATGGAATACAAAGGCAGTTTGAAAAGAGTCACAGAGATTCAGCCAGAAACAGCCACTCTACCATGTGAGGGCAAAATAGACACATCTCTATAAGGGTTTCCAACCTAGATTTCCAGAAATTTTGCTATACAGACCTCAATCTGATCCCTTCTCCCTCTGAGGTTTCCTAGGGCCCAGATCAGTTGTTTCTGGCATCTCCACCTCAGCCAGAGAATGAAAAAGGAATTGGCTAAGAGGAGAAAAATGGGGACAGATGTAGCCCTGTCTGCCATACTTCCAAACAGTCACCTGTTTTCCTATCTAAGTGCAGTGCTAGTCAGAAGTTCCTTTTTACCACATGGCCTGAAGTTCTAGCAGTTGTCTCTTCTGAACAGCAGTGATATAGTGAATGGCCTTCAGAGCAGCTGGTTCAAGCCCTGCATTGCTAGGGTTGTCAGCTGGCAGCCAGCGGGAGATTGGGGGATGGGGTATAGGGGGGGCTGTCACATTGATGGCATGACATAATTTCTGGGTTGGACTCACAAATGGCATCATGCGACTGTAGGATTCAGCAGAATCCTCTGAATCCTAGAGAACGTGACATCACTTCTGGGTTCACCCCAGAAATGAGGTCATTCTGCCAACGTGATGGCATATTTTCTGTTATTTCCCCCTCCACAGACCTACTGAGTGGTGGCAGAGTTGAGTGTGTGTGTGGCAGCAGCAACCCGGGCATAGTCTAACACAGATGGATTACTAATTCCCACATGATGTTTTCCCATATGTGGATAAAGGAGTGGTAGCCACATAAAATGCATCACCACACTGTTCTGGGAAGGAGGAAGGAAACAGTTGTAATCATAGGAGATAAATGAATAGTTTTCTGGTCACAGTTATGAGTACAATAAAGTAGTTTTCATAGAATATCGAAAATATAACAAGTCCTGCTGGAAGATAGCAAAAGTCTACCCAGTCTAGCATTCCATTTTAGTGGCCAAACCAGGAACTATGCAAGCAAGTCTTCCCCCGCTTTTATTCCCTACCTCAGTACTTATGAATCTGGATGTATCATTTATCTGTCATGGCTAATAGCCTATGAATTTGTCTGATCCCCCTTTAAAGTCACATATGTCAGAAGTCAACATTCTGGCTTATTCCACACAAATCTATTATGCTTATATTCCCTTCTACCCTGCCCTGCCTAAGCCTTGGTAAACTCACTTTAGTTGTTATTTGTATTTGTACTTCCAATTTTTGCATTTCTAATTTCAAACATACTGTGGTTTGCTTAAATAGGAGTCAGCACAATTTACTGATAAAAACAAATTGCTAATTATGGTTTGTGAATAAACATGGAGGGGAGGAAACCACAAGCGCAGTACATATGTCACACAAAACCATGGTTAAATCTCACTGTGGTTAGCATACTCATCAAAATGCAGGCAACTTCAATCATTATCTCTATTTATTTACTTAAAACATTTCAATGCCGCCTTTCCACCCAAACAGGGTTCCCAAGGCAGTAAACATCAAGCATTAAATCACTGCAACATTAAAAACATGGCTGCTTTGCAGGGTGGATTCTATGGCATTACACCCTCCCCAAACCTTGCCTTCCCCAGGTTCCACCCCCCCAAAATCTCCAGGTATTTCCCAACCCAGAGCTGGCAACCCTACAGAGAGAGAACAAAAAAAGTCTTCACCCGCTGGCAGAAAGCGACAATAGGAGGAGGCAGATGGAATCTCCCTGAGCAGGGAGCGCCAAGGTTTTGCCACCATGATCAAGAAGGCCCTGTCTCAGGTTGCCACCCATCTAGCATCAGAATTATGGTTAGAGAACATGAAGCTAAGGTATGAAACCATGGCTTGAAATTGGTATATTAATCACAGCTAGTCTTAATGATATTTTGCATGATGTATGAATGCAAACATCCCGGTTGAGTTCTAACTTGTCCTCAGATCCCACCCTCATCGCAACGAAGGCCAGGATACCAGCCCAGTCTCCGCAGAAAAAAACAACAACAAACCAAAGGCGACAGACAAACCTAGCATTTGACAAGGCAAACTGGATTGGAAGGATCCTCTGTGAGATGCATTTGAGTTTCGCAAAAGAACCACAGTTAAAATAAAGTTTCATTTTATATATGAACTTAGCAACAGCAAACAAGAGGAGAGTGGGAGAGATGAGAATGCAGAAGCCTGTAGCACATGCCGTTTCTTGGAGGGTCAGGAATTTTATCTATGAACTGACCTCATATTTTATGGCCGTGAATTTCAGAAATTAATTATGCAGGGTAAGAAGAAATACTTTTTTAACAGAAAGAACACAGAATCAGTGTGAATTTGTGCTAGTCGTGTGTCTGCTGGTTTTCATTTCAGAAAGCAATTTAAGCGTATACTTAATATTGAGTACTTTCGATATGTCTGACTAACTTCAATGAGGGAAGAGAGCATGCTGTAATACTTTGGTGACACACGGCTTAGGAACCTGCTAATTCATGAATGGGAAGATATATTTTCTATTTAAAAGTCAGAGGAGATTAACTGTGCGCTCTTTCTGTCTGTAACAAGGATGGAGAAGGATAAGAGACGGGTCATTTCGTAGAAAAAGAGGTGCAGGAGCTCATTAGCATACTTCATTAGCATAACTTATTTGCATGTGCCACACACCCTGACATCACCAGAAGTGTGTCAGAAGGAAACACCCACCGCTCAGGCTCCACCCCAAAAATCTCCAGGTGTTTCCCAACTCAGAGCTGGCGGGCCTACCTGGAGGAACAATTTGGGAAGCAGGCTTTTCTCATACACTCTTTTCTCATACACTCTTTGCATGCCAGTGAAACTACAGCTGCAACCTTGTGCCTGCTTAATGGGGTTTAGAGATTTAGGCAATATAATGATTAACTGAAGAGAACAAGGGGGTAAAATGGACCGCAGCACTGCAGACTGATTTTTGGAACAGCTCTACTTGGCCAAAAACTCCTTGCAGATGGAAAACATGCACAGCATGGTAGATTCAGGAGGGTAGCTGTGTTGGTCAGAAGCACCTTACTCTGCCTTCGGGTTGTTGGTAGCGGTGGTGGCAAGCACAGGCAGCAGATGCTGCTTCCCACTTTGAGTCCTTGCCCAATTGAGGGCTGCTGGGGGCGGGGCTTGCTGCATGTGCCTCTGCGGATGGGCAGAGAAAGTGGCAGGGGGCACTCTGGAGGGCTTTCTCTACACACCCGCCTCGGTGGACAGGCAGAGAAAGCGGCAGGGGGCGCTCTGGAGGGCTTTCTCTACACACCCACCTCTGCGGACGGGCAGAGAAAGTGGTGGGGGGCGCTCTGGAGAGCTTTCTCTACACACCCGCCTCTGCGGATGGGCAGAGAAAGTGGCAGGGGGCACTCTGGAGGGCTTTCTCTACACACCAGCCTCGGCGGACAGCCAGAGAAAGCGGCAGGGGGCGCTCTGGAGGGCTTTCTCTGCACTCCCGCCTTGGCGGACGGGCAGAGAAAGCGGCAGGGGGCGCTCTGGAGGGCTTTCTCTGCACTCACGCCTTGGCAGACGCACAGAGAAAGTGGCGGGGGGTGCTCCACAGGGCTTTCTCTGCCCCCCCACCTTGGCAGACGGGCAGAGAAAGGCGGGGGTGCTCTGGAGGAAGCCGGGGATGGGGTGGGAGGCCTTCCTGGGGCTGCTGCACCTCTGCGCAGCCGAAGGAACCAAGGATGGGGTAGGAGGCAGGCAACTTCCCTTCCTTCTTCTGCCTCCTCATGGCTTGAGCACTGCTGGAAGCAGGGGATGGGGCTTAGTCATATGAGAACAGTAGAGAAGTGACTTACGTTGGTTTTGATGCCTCAGCCTGATCCGTTTGCAGTTTTTCTCCCCCCTCCACTTCCATTGTGCAGTATACAATGCGGTTAGGTGCTAAGGATTTGAGGCCTTGCACTTCCATAATGACAACCTGATATAAACAAAAAGAAGAAAACAGTGTACTCAGAAACTGTCTTTGGACATTATTTATTTCACATGTTTGCTAGACCAAATTTTTAATAATACCAACAACAATTACGCTAACTGATAAAATCACAGGTTCGGGGTTTGGCCCACAGAGATGCCAGCCTCCAGGTGGGGGATCCCCTGGAATTATAGCTCATCTCCAGACTACAGAGATCAGTTCCCCTGGAGAAAATGGATGCTTGGGAGGATGGAATCTATGGTATTGTTCCTCACTGAAGTCCCTGTCCACCCCCAAATTTCCAGGAATTTCCCAGCCTGGAGCTGCCAATCCTACCTCCCCATCCCCTGCTGGAGGCCCAGGGGGACCTGGCAACCCTAGACTCCTGCAGCAGAACAGTTAGATTTGAGTCCAGTAGCACTTTAGAGAACAATGGACCCCCCAGGGCTGAATAGGGACAAAGGATTCTTATCTCACTAAGTTTCTGCCCCCAAGCATTTCCCCTCTGCTCTGATCAAGCTGATTACAATACACATCGTACCTTGGCATCCTTTACAACTAGGGTTGCCAGCTCTGGGTTGGGAAGCAGCTGGAGATTTTGGGGATGGAGGTCTGAGGAAGGTGGGGTTTAGGGAAGGATGGGACCTTGGTGGCATACAGTGCCACAGGGTCCACCCTTCAAAGCAGCCATTTTCTCAGGGGGAGCTGATCTCTGTCACCTGGAGATCAGTTGTAATCAGTTGTAATCCCAGGAGATCTCCAGCCATCACCTGCAGGTTGGCAACCCTATTTATAACACCCCCTACAGACTCTGACTGGGATAAAAAGACTCAGCTCTCCATTCCTACTCCTATTTGACTCTCAAAAGCTTAAACCCTGAAAATCTCGTCGGTCTCTAAGGTGTTACCTGATTCAAATCTAGCTAATAGAATCACAGGACACCCTCTACTGGGGTAAGGTAAAAAGTCAAGAGTGATACACAGTTCTTCTGAGGAGCCAGAGGTCATTTCGGGGGGGATCGCGGGGGAACGCAGTTCCCTCGGGTGAGGTGCGGGGGGCGGGGCACATGACGAAGCCCCGCCCCCTGCTTCCAGCTGCCCCGCTTCCGGCCCTCATTCAGCCAGGAGGAGGCTGGAGAAGAGGGAGGGTAAGTTGCTTCCTCCCCGCCTCTCCCCACCCCTGCCTTCCTGGGGCCAGGGAGGGCCTTGGCGGGGCTTCCTCGCACTCCCGCCGGCCTTGCAGGTCCACCGCCGGGCCCCTGATGTCAGGGGGTGTGGCATATGCTAATGATTTATGCTAATGAGTTCCCCTAGCTCTTTTTCTACGAAACGACCCCTGGATGGAGCAGTGGCCCAGTCAGAAGAACTGCAGCAGTGAGTGACTTCACTCAGAGGTAAGACTATGCAAGCACATTTCTGCAGTGCTCCTGTAGCATTCTTTCCCTTCCCTTCCACCACCACTGAAATCCCACACAGGTTGCCCAGGCTTTAGAACAAAACCACGTACACAAAAGCAGTGTGGTCCAGCTCACCTGCCTCTGCAGAAAGGCAATAGTTAAAGAAAAGTTCAGCCTTCCTCCCAATACACCTTTCTGGAAGTTTGTCAGCAGTTTGTGTACTCCAGGGTAAGTAATGCCCCCCCCCCCCAGCTTTCACATCTTTGGGCACAAAGGCAAGGGCCATTACCAGAAAAGGTGGCCCACTAGGTTATGCGTGCATGTATGTGTCCAAAAGGCTTTGCATCTGCATGTCTAAACTGACTGGCTTCCAGGGTATTTCAGGGACATGGTTTAGTAGGCTTGCCAAGCTCCAGGTAGCTCCTGGAGACAGGCCCATAGCCAGCAGGAAAAAAAAAGGAAATCTCCACGCTATTACAGTTACCTCCAAACGATCCAGACCAGTTCCCCTGGAGAAAAAAAGCTGCTTTGAAAGGTGGACTCTGTGGCATTATACCATGCTGAGATTCCTCCTCTCCCCAAACTCTGCTGTCCTCAGGCTCCATCCCTCAAATCTCCAAGTATCTCCCAACCCAGAGGTGGCAACCCTATGGGGAAGCTTTACTACATGGGACACCTTATGTTGAGGCAGAGCATTCCCAGCCAGTGCCTCAAAGCTTGGAAATGGCCACTCTTCAGGCAGCTCAACTAGCTTCCCTTCCTGTTGGTGTTCTGCAGACAAGAAGCTTCTTCTTTCATTTGATCTTTGGTAACTTGTATTCCCCCCCCCCATGTGTCTTCTGGTCACATGGCACACACATGAAACTGCCCTTGATCCATCAAAGTCAGTATTGTCCACTCAGATTAGCAGCGGCTCTCCAGGATCTCAGGCAGAGCTCTTTCACATCACCTACTGCCAGATCTTTCAACTGGAGATACTGGGAATCAAACCTGGGACTTTCGGCATGCCAAGCAGATGCTCTACCACTGAGCCACAGCCCCTGCTATTTTAATTTGCACAGCCGCTTTAAAGATCTCTGTTTTCTGTTTAGGCGATTATTTATGTTTTTAAATACTTATATTCTATGGCATTTTATGAGGTTTATATGCTGTTTTGACATTTTATGGAGGAAGGTTATAAATGTGGTAGATAAACACATAACAAAAATATATATTTTTTATTTCCAGTAACTAATAAATTAACAGACGTTGGCTTCTGTGTTTTCACATATGTTTCTGTGTTCAGATTTGTAGCAAATAGCATGAAAGGGTAGGAGGGGAGTTGGATGGCTTGGCAGAAATGACTCCGTCTTTGAATTTGCACTCACCTATGTTTTATACAGCAGAGAAGGGAAAGTTATTATTCAATCAAAATTAAATATACATCTGAACATTAAAATTATGTGTGAATATAAACTGTACATCTCAAACACTTATGTTCCCTGTAATTTTCTCATATTTTTAATAATATCCACCAGTTAGAAATCAAGACTCACAGAGGGATTTAGGTGACATCTCTAATTAGCAATAATCAAATGCAAAGTACACAAAGCAAGATGATTTAGTAATTCAGCATCAAAAAAGAAAGTCCCTGTGAAACAACTCTAATGAATATTCCATCACCCTCCACAGAAGTCCTATTTTTGACCTAACCAAATCAACATTCTTTTGCAATATGTGAATTAAAACTTTCTTATTCACTGGAAAAATATGTAAGAAATATTTTTATAAAGAGACAGATCTATCGCCCTTGTCAAGTTACACGTGTCTCAAGTTATATAAAACCTGAGTGAGACTGCAATGAATGTAGCAAGGTTATTTCTATTTCTATCATCATCATCATCATCATCATCATCATCATCATCATCATCATCATCATCATTATTATCATTATTTATTATTATTATTATTATTATTATTATTATTATTATTATTATTATTAGGTGACATCATTCCAAATATATACTTATAATTTCTGGCTGCTGCTACTTTTATTTATAGTATACCTCTTAGGGGTGACAGGTCCCCCCTGACCATTGGCAGGAAATCAGGCTTGCCTTTCCCCCCAATGAGGACCCAAAGTTGCTTACACTGTTCTCCTCTCCTCCATTTTATCCTCAGAACAACCCTGTTAGGTATTGTCAGGCTGACTGTTTATGATAGGGTTGCCAACTGCATCTTGGGAGATCCCTGGAGGGTTTTTTTTGGGGGGGGGGTGCCTGGGGAAGGTGGAAACATTGTTGAGATGTGGTACTATAGAGCCTACCCTCTGAACCTGACATTTTCTCCAGGGCAAATTATGTCCATAGTCTGGAGACCAGTTATGATTCTGGGAGAACTCCAGGCCCTACCTGGATGTTGGTAACCCTAGTGTATGACTGGCCCAGTGACAGAGTGAGGATTGTCTGAGTCTCCCAAATCCTAGTCTAACACTCTAATCATACTAACCATATCTTTACTGTCTGAAGGAGAAGTGGTTATGAGAGTGGTCTGAGAGAAGTAGTCACTTCCTTTACTACAGGTGATGTTAGTGGAGGGGAGAAACTACATTAGCCAGTTCACTCACATAATTGCTTCCTTTCACCTATTATTAGAGTGTACTGGGAAGTAACCATATCTTGATAGTTCCTGCTTCTTTCAGGTAAAGTATAAATTAGGTGTATATTTCAATAAAATTACCTTTGGCTTAACCCAGGGTATAAGGATAACAACAGCAGCAGTGCCTTCCTCCACAATGTCAGATTCAGTGTACCCCAATGTCCTGATATCACTGCAGTGGACTTTTGCTCACCCCTGCTCCACATCACTAGCTGCTGCTTGTGAGGACAGAAGGACACACATTGCCTTGACATCTGGACAAATTGTATGTTGAGTGTGTGGAATTCAGTGTCAGACGATGTGAGAATGTCCACTAGTTTTAGTTGCTTTTAAAAGCAGAATATGCAAGTTCATGGAGGACAGGTCCATCAAAGTCTGCTAACTACAATGACTCCATACTCAGCAACACAGTGAATACCTGTTGCTGGGGGGCAACAAAAAGGGAAGGCTTTGGTCTCTGTGCCCTGCTTGTAAGTCTTCTGAGGGCATCTAGTTGGAGAATGTGTGGAGCAGGATGCTGAAGTAGATGAATCACTGGATCTGTTCAGCATGTTTTTATAAATATGACACAGGGTTGCCACTTCAGTATCATCCTGGTGTTATTTGCAGTATGTAGTTTTGATCGTGCCTTGACCTTGATGGTCCCGTCTAGCCCATTTTCATCATATCTTGGACACTAAGCAGGGTCAGTCCTCATAAGTATTTGGATGGGAGACCATGAAGGAAGTCCAGGGCTGTTATATGCCCAGGCAGGCATTAGCAAACCACCTCTGTTTGTCTTTTGCCTTGAAAACCCTACAGGGTCATCATAAATTGGCTGTGACAATGGCCCTTTCCACCACCAGTTCTGATCCATTTCCATATGGATAATCAGTTTCTTTAAATGATCAGAAGATTTATCCAAATGAAGGAAAACAGAATAGTTATAGACTTTTGATTCTATTCTACGTCCTCTTGCATAATATGTTTAATATATAGACAAAGCATTTGGTATCTCAAATGTACAGAGGCAGGTGGAATTCAGAATTCCTCAGAAGGGCAAAGAGACCTAGGTATGTTCGACGATAATAAGGACTGAAGTATCGCTGAAGGCACAGAAGACAATATGTGGGAGTTCAGTGATCAGATCTCCAAATATAAATTTAAGGTTAAAAAGTTGCTATAGGGGCTCCAGTTTGGATTGAAATCATGGTGCAGGGGAAGAGGGACTCAGCCCTTTCCTCTGCAGCTCATTTTCCATTACAAATCAGCTCCCCTGTACTGCTCTTATCTCAAGAAGCAAAAATGCAAGTATGCTATGGTTAGCTGTCTGTTTTATTTATCAGAGCTAATAGCAGCCGGGGGGTGGAGGCAGTAAATTGTTTCTGGAAAAATGTTGTAGGTGCAAGAAATTTTAACCTAAAAAACACATTAGGAGGTCTGTTCATTAATCTTCCTCTATTTTCTAGTTGTAGCCAATAGTTTTATTACATTACATTACATTAAGTACATTAAAGGAATATTTGTTTCCTGGAAGAGCAAACTTTTCACTCTTAGGGAGTAATCCAAAGCAGGTCTATTCAGAAGTAAGTTCCCTTTTATTCAATGGATTTTGCTTCACAAGAAAGTGTTCTCAGGATTGCAGCCTTAGCTACATGTTTTCTGTTTTGATTATTTCGGTCCACAAAGATTTTACTTTAAGCTCTGATTAATGAAAAATTATTGATTGTTGAATTTTGTTTGTTTTAAATCACAAAGGTATTGCATATTGGAGAAGTTATAAGTCTTACCTCCAAGGAAAAAGATAGTACGACATCTGATTTTGAGAGCTGGTTTTCGTTTTCTTCTCCCATGTCAATGATTGAGGTGTTGTGACTGCGTTTCAGCTTTTGCAACTTGAACTCAGAGCCACCTTTGGACACTGGCATGCTCTCCAAGTTAGCCATCAGCAAATTGACAGAGGACTTCAGTTCTTCAATGTACATGTTTTCCATTTCTTTGGATACAAATTTAGGAAATTTGCGTTCCTGTAATTGGAAGATAATACATCATCATCATCATCATCATCATCATCATCATCATCATCATCATCATCATCATCACCACCATCATCATCACCATCACCATCACCATCACCATCATCATCTTATACCCCACCCTTTTCCACAAGTGGGCTCAGGGTGGCTTACGACATAAGATTCATAAAACAATAAAACCCATAATTTTATTTATTTATTTAACAGATGGCACAATAATCGATAACAGAAAGGACCCATGCCTCATGTCAGATGAATAAGAAGCTCCAGTGCCCAAGTAATGTTATCAAAAGCAGCAGGGCACTGGGAAGGGGCCATGAACAGTGAAGGCCAGAATGGTTGAGCATCTGCCTCCTCAACCAAAAGCCTGGTGGAACAGCTCCACTTTACAAGCCCTGACGAACTGTGCTAGGTCCCGCAGGTGGGAGCATGTTCCACCAGGTTGGGGCAAGGGCCGAAAAAGCCCTTGCCCTGGTTGAAGCTCAGTGGATATCCCTTGGGCTGGGGATCACCAGGAGATGCTGATTGCAAGAGCGTAAAGCTCTCATATGGCATGTGTACATGTATACAATTACATTTTACAGAAATGTAAAAGCAGCTTACAAAAATTATCGAATGTATAATATAATGGAAGCAGCAGTAGTGGGAGAAAGTCTTTTAAAATACTAATGTTTTCATGTGGCCAAGGACAAAATGTATGATGGAAGCACACATATGGAAGAAGGAGACAGCGAAATACTGAGGTTAGCAGAGTGGAATATATCATTTCACACTGTACCAAAAAACCCCCAACCCTACAGAAAACTCCTATATCATTCTATTTGTTTACTTAAAATCAGGGCTATTTTGGGCAGGAACGCACAGGAACGGAGTTCCGGCTGGCCACGCCCACTACAGCCAAAACCTCTGTGTGCATGGCTACAGAGGGAAGGCCTGAAGAGTGACCCCCCCTCAACTCCGAGGCCTCCCGTGCCTTTCCCGGCCTGTCCAAGGGCTGGCTTGTCCGGGTGCCCTGCAGCTGCGGGGCGCCCGGGCAAGCCAAGGGAAGGCATGGGGGTGTGGCCTAATAGGCTAATGAGCCATGCTGTCAGGGGTGTGACCTAATATGCTAATGTTGGGTGTGGCCCAGGGCTATTTTTGGGCAGGAACGCAGAGGAACGGAGTTCCGGCTGGCTCCCGAGTTGGCCACGCCCAGCAGGAACTCATTAGCATAATAGGCCACACCCAACAGCAGAAACTCATTAGGACTGGCTACATTAGGGGTGTGTGGCCTAACATGCAAAGGAGTTCCTGCTACAAAAAAAAAGCCCTGGGTTTTGACAACAATAAAGCCCTGGGTTTTGACAACAAACAAGGTAAACAGAATAACAAGCAAAAGGTGGGTGTGGCTGGACAAGCACACTTCTGGTAACATGGGGGTGCGTCCTAATGTGCTAATGAGCTGTGCTGTCAGGGATGTGGCCTAATAGGCTAATGAGTTTCTGCTGTTGGGTGTGGCCTATTATGCTAATGAGTTCCTGCTGGGCTTTTTCTACAAAAAAGCCCTGCTTAAAATATATATCCACCTTTTCCCCAACCATCTCAGGACCCAAGCCAGGTGTCATGATCTGTGCAGGACTGGGAGCAAGGCCTAGTGCGGCCTGGTCCCAGGAGACACCAGTGTGGGAGTGGAAAGTAGACAGCCTACAATCCCCATAATGCTTAGATAGGGTTATAGCCAATCAGTTTCTAGAGATTCTGTGAGGAGATTCTGACTTAAGCTGTTAACTGTGAAAAATGGTGTTCTTTCATTTCTCATCTGCGGTAGGGATGGTTTTCCCTTGTATGGTTGTGGCCCCGCCCCCAGCGTGCCCGGCGTCATAACGTCACTTCCTGGTGACGTGCATGCGGCGCGCGCTCTGTGTGTGCGTGCGTGCTCCGGGAGCTGCCCGGGAATCCCCCGAGGAAGAGGTAAGTGACACTTGGCAACCCTAATCTGCGGTTTGCTCTCACAGAGGGAACAGGCTGGTCTGGTGAGATAAAAAGATCCCTCACTGGGGACAGAGTGAGAACAGGTAGCATAGCCTGGCAGGCTGTAGGCCTTGAGGACGCCGGCCGGGAGCCCCCCGCTCCGGCAAAAAGTGAGTTGGCAACCCTAGTGGGGAAATGTTGAATATGATTATGTCTCATCACACATTTATCACATTTAGTTTACTAGGTATTACAGGGGAGGCATATAGAAGAGAAGAAGAAGAAGAGATTGGATTTATACCCTGCCCTTCACTACCCAAGGGAGTCTCAGCGCAGCTTACAATCCCCTTTCCCTTCCCCTCCCCACAATAGACTCCCTGTGAGGTAGGTGGGGCTGAGAGAGCTCTGACAGAAACTGTTCTTTTTCAAGAACAGCTGTGCCAGAACTATGGCTTGCCCAAGGTCATCCAGCAGGTGCAAGTGGAGGAGTGGGGAATCAAACCTGGTTCTCCCATATTAGAGTCCATGCACTTAACCACTACACCAAACTGGCTCTAGGGGAACATATGTCAACAGTACCCCCAAATGTCCACTTAGACCCTGAGAGAAGATAGGATTTAAAGGTGGGTGAAGTGAGAAAGTGCTGTGCTATTTGCTGTTGCATGATTAGCCGCTAAGAGATGTTACCTATCCCAGGCACCGTGCCCAATGCACCTGTGGTCATAGAAGCAGAATTTCCAGACTTCACTGTACTAGATATATTAGTATCCATTATGGAAAAAAGCTGAACAAGATGTTATTGTTAGCCTGGTTGCCAACATAACAATAGTTACTTATCTAGACATCAAAATGCCCAGTGGGAAAAGCTTGCAGAATGACATGATTGCTAGTTAATCACAGGCACTTTCTTTCTGTTAATGCTAAAAGGTGGTGTTCTATGGGAAAATGAGATCTCTATCAAAGGACACATCTGTGGCATATGCTATGCGATATTTACGAAAGTAGGCAGAGGATATTCTTTGGAAGATCTTCTCTGCTGAACAAAAAGAGTGAATGCCAGAGATTTGCTAGTAAGCACACTGAAAGAAAGAGAGCAAATACCTTATCCATGTCCATTTCACACATCTGAAAGTCAATCAGTTCACACATCTGAAAGTCAATCAATTCATGTTTACCTTTCCAGCTGATAAATCACTGATCATTTTGCACACTGACTGCTGGCATCCAATAACAACATAAGGAGTATCCTCCTGGATGAGACTATTGATCCAGCTAGTCCAGCATCTTCTTTCACACAGTGATCAACCAGTTGCCCTAGAAGGCCAACAAACAGGGCATAGATGCAAAGGCTTTTCCCTGACATTTCATCCTAGCACTGGCAGCCAGAGTGTTGGTGTTGTTGTTCAGTCGCACAGTCGAGTCCAACTCTTCATGACCCCATGGACCACATCACACCAGGCCCTCCTGTCTTCCATCGTGCTCCAGAGTTTGTTTAATTTCATGTTCATCACATTGATAACACTGTCTACCCATCTCATCCTTTGTCGTCCCCTTCTTCTTTGACCTTCAATTTTTCCCAGCATCAGGGTCTTCTCCAGTGAGTGTTCCCTTCTCATTTGGTGGCCTCTGAATGTGGAGGTCGCCTTTAGTCACTATGGCTATGAGTCACTGATAGACCTGTCCATGAGGTTCAGACCATCTGGGATTCTTTGCCCTGGCATTCCTTTGCCTTTCAAGGCTGTTACTGTGGGTCCCAGTAATTGCAAGTGCAGCAAACAAACATCAATCTCAGAATGCACTCTAAAGATTACACTATGCAGGTGATTTTGAGAAATGTCTTCCAACTTAGTTGACATTTCTTAACAGTAGAAAAAGGAGTTCATAAAAAGACACCTGGGAGAAGAAAATCAAGCCATGTTTCTGCCAGGAGGATTTTAATTAAGTTAAAGGAATAGACTTTGCCAGCATTTGTTCCAGATCACATTACAGGACTGTCAAAGGTTTTTGTACTAAAAATGATATTTTCTCAAAGAATCTTCTGTAGAAGACAAATTAGCAGGCAGCCTCTCCTTCAAGCTTTAGAAACAATTTCTCTCTGTTAATTTAACCACATAATAAGGCTCATCATTTAAGCAAACCTGAGAGACAGTGACTTGTTCTAGGCCAACCTCTTAGCTAGCTATACAAAGACCCAGTATGGTGTGGTGGTTAGAACTCCAGGCTGGAGACATGGTGGTTTAAAGAGTGAATTCTTCAATGAAGCAAACTGGTGAGCTACTGAGCAGGGAGAAAGATTTGAACCTGGGGCTATCACTTCCAAACCTCACACCAGTTAACACATTACCTTATCATTACCTTATCACCACATTAAGCAGCATTAAAAAGGTAAAGGTAAAGGTTTCCCTTGCCCACCCAGCGGTTCGAAAGCCGATGTAAAAACTCAGGCGAGTAGATTAATGGGTACCCACCCTTAGAAGGGTGGGGGGCACCCTCCTCCTCGGCGAGGTGTGTGGATGGCAACAATGGCGGCGGCGGCGGCGTTGCGGCGATGGAGACGATGACGGTGGCTGTATACCAGCGGCAGAGGCAAGAAAGGAGCACGGCGACGCGGCGGCGGCAAGCAGAGAGCAGCAGGCCCGGAAGGAGTGACTCCTGGCGGCCAGCAGCAGAAACAACGAGAGGCTGCCGTGCAGCAGGAGGCGCACAGTGACATCACCCAGATACGCGACGACACCTGCCTCCACCTGGGTGCCCCTCCCCAGAACAATGTGGCCCCAGTTAGGGTTAATAGGTGATTAGCACCCCCTCTGTAAACCGCCCAGAGACCCCTACGGGGGTTACGGCGGTATATCAAGCTGAATTAATAAATAAATAAATAAATAAAGCTAGTCGAGGGGGCGGTCCTCATCTCTGTTTCCAAGCAGAAGAGCCAGCGCTGTCTGAAGATGTTTCCATGGTCATGTGGACAGCATGACTAAATGCTGAGGTGCACAAAATGCTGTTACCTTCCCACCAAAGTGGTACCTATTTATCTACTTGCA